CCTTTCATCTCTCTCTTTCTCCCTCACTCCACCTCCCTTTCTTCCCCTGTGTGTCTGATTATTCCTGGGAGCAGCTGAGTGGAAACATTGACATTTGAACAAAAGTCAGAATAACTGCTGGGTTCCCAGAGATCATGATCCCTGATTACAAAACAGAAAGAAGTGATGTCAAACACTGCAGGCATTCTTTGAAGTAAATGCGAAACAAAGTAACAGGCCAAGGAAAGAAATTAAATTAATGAGACAAGAAATCCGCAACATTAGTGATTCCCAGGCCAGGCCAGATTTTTGTGATATAAACTTGTTGCTCCAAAAATAGCTCTGTCCATTCCTTTTTGTCTTGCATATTACAAAATGTTTTCCACAGAATTACAGCCTCAGCGGTTCCAATAGTTGGCTGGTCCATGACGTAGGCTAAGTCCCAATCTCAGGAATACAAATGTACCCTCCACCAAAGCATTCCCCTTCATTCTTTCTTGTATTCCTAACAAGAATTCTCAGTTTTCATTACAGAAGAAATGTTTCTGCCTCTCCTTCTTTTACTTGTAGGTTGACATGAAAGTGTTACAGCCTTTACAAACTCAACCTCTCATATCCATTGTGAATTGAAGCCTCTAGTATAGAGGAACCCAGAGAAGCCATCTGTTTTTTTTCTTTTTCTTTCAAATGCATTGCCATTTGTCAAATATAAGGAAAACAAATCTGGCATTATTTCTTCTTTGGTGACTTTTGGCTGCTGTCTCCAATGTTCAAACAGACCACCACCCCTCCAGACAAAAGAACAGATTTCAGCCTGTTTATTTCTATAAGATCCAACCAAAGCATATTAATTTCATGGGTTTTACAATAGTCAGTGACAGACATGGTGTTGGGTTTGTCGCCAGAACTCATGATTTTCCCCCTCCTCCCATGCTTATAATTCATATTTCATATATTTTGCTAATCTATATCAACTTACATAAGTTTAGGGAAATGATGCAGGTTCCTTCAATCCATCCTGTTCCACATGCATTGCCTCTATTTCATATGGAGGGTTTCCCAGAAAGAGAAATGTGGTCAGCCAATGGGGAACAATTGAAGGATTCATTTGACTAAATGAAAACATTTGAGGTTGGATTAGAAGACCTCCAAGGTCCCTTCCAACTCTGTTATTCTGTTCTGTTAATGGATGTTTGAGAGAGTCTAAGGCTTGAAAGCAATTTGTGTTACTGATAAATAACATTGTTAAATTGAAACAGATAAGCTTTGGAATCCCCCTGAAATAATTCCTATTTCCATGGAACAGACCTGAGGTCACAAGTTCTAAACATTACCAAAAACAATCTCTATAGTTCCAAGGAAAGGATTTGGGGGCACCAGGGCAAAAGCACTTGAGGACATCTCTTATTATCCCCAAAGCAACTCTAACATTTATAATATTGGATCCCATTTCTTTTATTCTTCATTAGAACCTTAACTTTAAAGAGGACTGGAAGTTAGTCACCATCTTCATCGGAGTCAATGACCTCTGTCAACACTGTTTAGATAAGGTATGCCAACAGGATATTTGTAGGCAAACCTATTAAAACTAAGCCTTATTAAACCTACAATAGCATCATTCTTCAAATTCTAGCTATTCGATAAAATGGTTGTTAAAATTCACTTTGAGAGAGAACTGATAATTTATTATTTTATTTATTAGGTTTTTTTATCTTGCTTTTATTACTTTTTAAGTCACTCAAGGCAGCAACCATACATAAATTCCCTCCTATTCTCTCTGCAACAACTACCCTGGACTGAGGGAGAGTGACTGGCCCGAAGTCAACCAGCTGGCTTTTCATGCCTATGGTGGGACTAGAACTTATAGTCCCCTGGTTTCTAGGCCAGCACCCTAAATCACTACACCAAACTGATTCAGCTGTTTTCAGACATTCACAAGAATCCTCTATTTATTTGCAAAGTAAAATTTGAAAAGAGAAAGAATTGAGAAATCAAAACAAATGGAATACTTTAAAAAAAAAATCTGAAAAAATTTCAGAGAAGTAGCAGTTCTATAGCAAAACAGAAGAATCTTTTTCAATGTTGAAAACCAATTTGGATTAACCATTTTTGTATATGTGCCATGGGATATTGAGATTCTATAGAATAAAAGTACACATTTACAGATTTATTTTAACAAAGATCATTTTAACAAAAATCATTTGTTTTAACAAAGATCTTATCGGAAAAGACCAGCAGAGATTCAGATAACAATACTTAAATTTTCTGTTTGTGAACTTTATTTTAAATTTGTAAAATATATTTTTGCCCTTTTTTGAATAATAATTGTGAAACCACATTTCAGATTTTGAATATTATTGCAAATTATACTTTCTTTCTTGACTTAAACAAAGCTCATTTTATTTTCATATAAAGATTTTAAATTGGCTTACAATCCTTTTAGTTGGTTGAGGCAACTAAACTGCTTTCTAGCAACTTTATAAAGCATTAAAATACTCTTCCCATCTCTGTTCCCTCCAGATGTGTTGAGCTGGTTGGCTCAGGCTGCATGAAACCAATTAAACAAACTTTATAACCAATATTGAAGAAAAGAACAAGAGCAAAAATTAAAAGTGAATGGAGCAGCAAAACTACACTGTCAATATTCCTATTGAGCAGTACTGAAATTCAAATTAAATAATATTTTTCACTCTGCCAAGAAAGGATAGGGCTACAATACAGCGTACCCTGTATTAGAACACATTGCTTTAGAAAGGAGTTTTAAAAGGAAGGATTATTGTGAAAGGAATGCCTTATTTTGAATTGACAGTACTTTAACATTTTTAAGGAGATAGGTAAAAACCAGAATCTCAGATTGTTATGATTTGTGATAATTATAATAATGCATCATAAATACATGGCATTTTTATGAGTATAAAATATACCCTATATAGAGTACTTGGGCAAATCAAGCTGTTTCATGGACATTCCATATGGGTGAGCAATCTGGTATTCTATCTTTTTCAGGAGGCATATTCAGTGGAAAAATATATAAAGCACCTCCAGGAAGCTCTTGATATTCTTTACAAGGAGGTAAGAGTTTGAGACACTCTAGACGGCTGAATTCTTGCCACCTCTATTAAATGTTGCTTACTCCCTTGGCATTTCCATGATTATTTTTCATTCCCACCATTCTATCCAAGTAGCTGGCATCAGTACAAACATCACTGAAGGATCATCCGGTGAATATGAAAACTAATGGTCAGGAACATGGATGGAATTGTAATATGAGGAAAATGACACCATGTTGCTATATTTTCATCACCTCAGATAACATGGAACTGGTTCCCTAAAGTGTACTATAAAAATAAAGACCTTCTGCTTGAGACAGCAGATGACACATTGTCATGCTGGTTTTGTCAATTTTCAGTATCCCAGGTTCTTTACTGGTACTGAGTTATGGATATTGGTGAAATAATTCAGGAAAGGATGAAGTAGAGTTTGTTCAGTTATCTTGAGGTTATGATCAGTCTAAAATTCCCCAATTTCATCTGTTGTTATCTTTTAATTCCATTTAAAATTGTGAGCAAAACAAACGTCAAAGCATACAGGTCGAGTTTGAACTGAGCTGCTTTCCCAGTAGTTCTGTTTTCCCCTTTGCCTAGGGCCATAGCCAAAGTAGGTGGCATAAATGTGTGGTCTGTTATGTTTATTAAAAAAAGCTTTGAGTTGCCAAAATTATCCAGTCATCATTAATGCCTGTAGAAAAAGCATTCCATCTTAGCAGAACTTACGTTCTGGTTGATTCGGTTTTAAGCTACAATGTAAATATCACGCATAATAGTGATGTGCAATAGCTCACTGCTGTTCATTTTTTTCTACTTCCTGGTCTGTGGGTTACACAAAGGCCAGGTATACTCAGAATTAATCCATGTATAACCTTTCTGTGTTGTTTGTTGAACAGCTTGTGCTTTGGGGGGATCAATAAAGCTAGTTATTTTCATTCCTGCAGCTCCCTCGGGCCTTTGTCAACATGGTGGAAATAATGGAGCTCACTGGACTGCGCCAGATAGAAAGGGAAGAATCCAAATGCATCCTTCCAGGGGTGTAAGTAAGCAGACCATGCATAGCAGTCTGAGAATTCTATTTTTAAGGCTAATCTGTATCTTCTTCATTCATAAAGCAGCCACAAAGAACTTTAAAATCTGTGCTCTGTCAGATACTATTGGTTTTGGGAGCTGTGAAGCAGCAGATGCTCCAAATATAACGCTAGGTTTTTCTGTAACTCACATGGGAGCAGCTCCTATTGATTTCTTTTAGAGATGCAGTTACTTAAGAGAGATAACTTTGAGTTCCAGGTTTTTCTGTTCAGATAAAAACAAAACTGAACACAATCCACAAAACCAGAACATAGACTTTAAAAGTATCTTGATTACAATATCTTCTACTTCTTATCTCAGTAACCACATCACAATAAACTCATTATTTTTGCTTGGTGCAGTGAAGTGTTTTGTTCACATTGCTAGTTTCATTCTCCAAGGTAAAAACAATGTAGAGCTTCAATATTTTTCTTGGAAACTTGCCTGGGATTTGGACCTTCTAAAGGAGGGATCAATGGTTTTCCATGTATTGATGACTAGCTCTAAGTAGCATTAACCAATCTAGCCAGCAATGGAGAATTCTGGGAACTGTAGTTCAGCAACAGTTAAAGGGCCATATGCTGGTTAGAGTCAAACTCCAATTCAATAAGCCACACAAAATTGATATCAGACAACAACAGATTTATGTGCTAAATTTGCTACATGTAAACTGGCATCTTTAGTTATAGTAACAATGTACTATCTTTAGACTAGAATAGAAGCATATTCTTCTGAGCAGTATATTATTAAGCCAAAGATCAAGAACTCCCATTATCATCCCAAACACAGAAAATGATACTGAAACTGACATGGAAAACTGACACAGATCTGCATATATTCATATTTTTTTCTAAACTCTTTAAATTTAAATTTGTTTATACTCATCTTTACTTTCAATGTTGCTCACTTTTAGGAGCCTTTGTCCATGCTTTCTAAATTCCTGGAATAACTCCGCTGCTCTGCAAGAAATGGAGATAATTAACAAAGATTTTCAGGTAAAAAAGTTCTTATTTATTTGATTCTAAGACCTCCATCATGCATTCTTTTAAGCAAACATCACAGGAATGAAACAAAATCTGTTATGAACTTCTTAAAACGTGATAGTGTAATCTATCAAAATAAAACTGGTCAGAGTCAGATTTAAATAAGATTCACAGAGAATGAGATTATTAAACCATTTATCAGATTAATAATGCACTACAAATAGGGCATAACTGAAAATATTACATGGTGGGGGAGTGAATTTGAAAAAGTTGACTTTAAAGACAATTGTGCAGGGGTGGACTGCTACCGGTTCTCCCCAGTTCGAGCAAACCGGTTGTTAATTTTATGGCTGGTTCAGTGAACTGGCAAATCCCACCCCTGTCTGGCCCCGCCCACCCTGCCCCGCCCCTCCCAGGAGTCCCCACGTGGCCCATTTTGGATCCCAGCTAAGCGCAGGGCTCACGAAGAGGCTCGGGGAGGCCAAAAAACAGGCTTCCTGGAAGCTCTGAAAGACCAGAAACGGGCCCATTTCCACCTTCCAGAGAGCCTCCGTAGCCCGGGGAGGGTGAAAATGCCCCGCTCCCATGGTGCAGGAGGCCAACTAGGCCATGCCCACCCTGGACACGCCCACCCAGCAGCTGGGCAGAGAACCGTTTGTTAAATTTTTTGAAGCCCACCCCTGCAATTGTGTGTGTGTGTTGGCTTTATTTGCAGTCTAAGAAAATATAGAACATTTGATAGAACAAAGTAGTCTTTGAAAGTGGTACTCATATGGAATGGGTTTAGATTGAGGGTGAAGGTTCATTCTCCGCGTTTGTGGGTTGGTTTCTGAACATTTTGTTACCAGGCTAGGTAACATCTTCAGTGGAGTTTAGGGGATGTCAGTGTTCTGTTTATAAGAGCTTAAGGTGTGAGGGTGTGAAGTGAGGATCTTGGGATGAGTCAGCAGTAAGTCATCATGTATGATGGGTCTTGTGATAAGGAGATTACATCAGGTCAGGGTCATTGGGAGGTGAATTGCTGGTGTATGTGTGTGTGTGGATTGCGTGGGTTGGTTGAGGATCGTTGCTGCCTCTGGTTGGCTGTGCAGTTGATTTCGATTTTGAGGGGTTTGTAAGCTGGTTGTAGGTTAATGTGTCTGTTGATGGAATTGCTTGTGGAGTCTCAGGCTTTGATGAACTCACGAGCGTGGTAGGTGGTAGCATGGCTGATGATTTTTGTGTTGCTCCAATCGAACTGGTGCTGTTTCGTGTTGGTGTGGGTAGGGTTTAGATTGTCTGGAGCTCCCTAATACTATATGGTTTATTTATTTTCTAAGTGTGGATACTAGAAAGCAAAAAGGCACCATTCATACATAAATGGCTCCGGAAAAATCTTAAGTTCATCAAAGCAAACAAACACATATGGTTTTTAATAGAAGCACTTTGCAATGCGTGCGTTGTTTCAGGTTCCGTCTGTAGCTTGAAGTTGGAAATTTTCAAGAATGATGATCAGCCAAGGTTTCTTGTTTCAGCAGTTGCATTCTTCTTCCACATACATTCGCTTGTGACTCATATCAAATCCCGTCTCTTTTTCCCGTTACCTTTATTTTGTGTACCAATTTCTATGTTTTTAATTTTTTCTAAACACTTAACTTGCAGTATAATTTATGCCGGAAATTTAATGTGACATGACATCTGATAACACAGTTATGGAAAGTCTTACTTTAAGAACATCAAAAGCAGTGTCTTTCCATTTGTCAGAGAATTATAATGAAAGAAGATCTTTGACATTCAGGATTATAACTGAAAAGACAGCAACTGAAAAAAGATGAAAATACAGTAATTAGGCAAAGTATGTTTTTTTTAAAAAAAATAGAAACCAAGTTGGACGGTTTTCTTATGATACTACCCTGTTTATATCACCATTTTTTTTTCTTTTCTAAGAAGCAGCAAAACAGGGGACCAAGTAAGTAGAACCATCATTTTCCACCGATGTCTCAGAAAGAGTACAATTTATTTCTGTTGATCAGAGTTGACACCCTAGAGAATCTGTATGAATTGAGTTTAAGTGTATAGTTTCTAGAAGGCAGATCATGTTTGAGTTAGCATTGGTAAACTGGAGAAAAAAAAAACGTGAAATTTACTCCTGTTCATTTCCAAACAGATTAAAAGTGCAATGCTATTCAACGGTGACCGTTATGATCAACGGGAAGATTTTGCCATTGTTGTGCAACCATTTTTCCGAAACACCTTCCTACCACTAGACAGTGTAAGTTGCTGTGTGTTGCTGAAGCCTTCATTATTACACTCGGATTTGTTTTACTGTGTACAAGACAGATACAAAGGGTGAGGATTACATCTTCTTTATAACATTATCTGCCTTGACTTCCAGGGAAACTGCAAAACAGAGGAGCAAGTAAGCAAAACCATCATTTCCCACCATTGTCCCGGAAACAGTACAATTTAATTCCGTTGATCAGGCTTGAGGCCACAAAGAATCTGTATCAATTAAGTTTATAGAAGGCAGGAATTAACTGATTCTGGATTTTAGACACAAGGAACTATCTCTTAAGATAATATGTTACACTATGCATGGGCACAAACACATACAGAAACTTCCATGTTTAATTATAAGAATTAACTAGGTAGCCTGCAATATAAGGAGCTGAATTAAAAGGAATATTTTAAGAAGTAGTTAAAAATATTTTTTAAAAATACTGACCTAATATGCAAGGACTTATGTATGAAGAATTAGGGCAATGCATATTACAATATTTTAGCAGGCCCATGAAAATGATAAGTGGGTTTAAAACATATTTTTTTATTCAAGTACATACAATTAATTATCTAAAATAACTCTTTCCAGTTCTAGCATCACATCAATTTAGCCCTACTTTGTGTATCTCTTCACTATTATTCCATCATTTCTCAGTTGATGAATTGGAACTGGAAAGCTGAATTGCTGAAATAGGTTGCAAGAAAATGCCAGGTGACAGGAAACCTTGGTAATTAACCCGTGATAATAAGCTTCTATGCTACTATTCACTACATTTGCAGTAATTGGAAGGAATTCTCAAAATTCACAATTTATTAGGTCTCAGAAATTATCCAGTAAAATAATTGAGCCTTGTCATCTTATATATTTAATATCTTCATTATGATATATTTTTTTGTGGATTTAAAAGCTGTGATGGCACAGTGGTTAGAATGCAGCGCTACAGGCTACTTTTGCTAACTGTTAGCTGACTGCAGTTCGGCAGTTTGATTCTCAGCAGCTCAACTCAGCCTTCCATTCAGTGGTGGGATTCAATTTTTTTTCCTACTGGTTCTGTGGGTGTGGCTTGGTGGGCGTGGCAAGGAAAGGATACTGTAAAATCTGCCACCCCACTCTTGGGGGAAGGTTACTGCAAAATCACATTCCCTCCCCACCCCACTAACCTGCTTTCCAGCTTCGTTCTCCTGTGTAGGGTAACAACAGAAGACTCAGCCGATCAGCTGGTACTCAGGCAGTGGAGAATAGATGTGGGTGGGGCCAGTCAGAGGTAGTAATTGCTGGTTCTCCAAAATACTCAAAATTTCCACTGCCGGTTCTCCAGAACTGGTCAGAACCTGCTGAATACCACCTCTGCTTCCATCCTTCCGAGGTCTGTACAATGAGGACCCAGATTGTTGGGGTCAATATGCTGACTCTGTAAACCACTTAGAGGACTATAAAGCATGGTGAAGCAGTATATAAATCTAAGTGCTATTGCTAAGTCCATCGGATTTAAAGCAAGAATTTATTAGCTTCAAAAATAGTATTTCACACAATTGTAAGTTTTCTCTCATCTTTTCATTTTTGAACAGTAACTTATTTGCTTTCTATCCTTAGGTACTGAGAGCCTCTGATTGCCAAAGTGGCCTAGTGGATTAAAATAGTGCAAACATTTTAATTAAAACCAAAAATATTGAAAACAATTTAAAACAACAGTTAAAAGTTTATATTAAAAGCTTTTTAGAAGTGGACAAAGCAGTTAGACCTATCTATTCAGCAAGTAGTGCATTCCAAAGAGTTTGACCTCCTTCACCTGAAAAGCTTACTGTAACAGGGAGGATAATTCTTCAACGTACCTCTAATGACTGTGTGTGTGTTTGTGTTTACTGGGAGTGGGAATCATACAAAATGAGGCAATCTTTCAAAAGCCTACAACTAAATCGTAGTCAGCTTTCAAGTCAGCTATACCAGTGCTTTATCCTATTCATAAAGTACCTATGTAATTTGTGAGAATTGATGCTGACTTGGCAGCACATAATCAATCAAATGTCAGTGCTAAATTTTCACTCAGAAGTAAGATAAATACAGGGGACTGGATATGGATTTTAATCCTGTGTTAGGCGCTGGAGGGAAAATACCTTCCATCTTAATATAGTCATCCCTCTTTTTTTTCAAAGTAAGAAAAAGCACTGTGGTAGTCCTCTCTATTAAAAGGTAAATATTTATCAAAATTATCAATTGGAAAAAATGGTCCCCTGGACTTGAAGCATTATGGCTCTACAAATTTCAGAAGGGGTGTGTGTGTGTGTGTGTGTGTGTGTGTGTGTGTGTGTGTGTATGTGTGTAAAATGAGAAAAGCCAATTGATAACTGGTGGTTGCTGGAACAGCTATATTTATAATCTGTAACTTGTCTTGGTAGGTAAGATTTGACTAGCAAATCTTGGCTCAGAAACAGAAGACAAGGAGCCAAAATGTACATGAGAAATGCCAGGGATTTTCTAACAAGGAATAAATGATTATCTGAAATAATGATTTGTATTAAACCATAGGATGGGAAACCAGACCTGAGTTTCTTTGCAGTGGATTGCTTTCATTTCTCTGAGAGAGCTCATGCTGAGATGGCTGTGGCACTCTGGAATAATATGGTAAGTGAATCATAGAATCCCTGGATTCAAAGGGACCTCAGAACTCACCTAAGGCTTAGTCTCACATCCATCTTAATGTGTTTTCCTCCTGTCC